TTTAAAAATAATCTTCAACTTTATTTTCAGCCTGATATCTTCTTAGCTGATTAATATCGACCTGTACAATTCAACACAATGCCTCTATCAGATAAGTAGGAACAGTGCGTATCTTAGCAAGAGAGAACATAATTGTGCACACCAAGACACATTCTTCCCAAGCAGCCTTAAAAGGTTGCATAAAAATGCATTGCAAATCAACATTTATTTTATCGATACACTGTCCACGAAACGCCCAACCGAATGCCCATGAGGTAACGAAGATCGTGGACAAACTGTGAAAATACAATTTGTGATACTTAGAAACGAGACTAAGTGCCGGGTCAAAGATGAAACTCTAAACTGAAGACCGAGTGTATGGCAATGTGCTACATGGGTGGCTCTTTTCTGGGCTGTAGCTCCGTGTAGTCTGGTAGAAGTTTACCAACATTTCAGAAGTCCTAACTGCATCAGCGAGGGCCTCTGAAACGTTGGTAAAGTTCTACCAGACTACATGGCGCTATAATCCAGAAGACAGCTATCTTCAGACCCACTGCCACGAAAACTTCGAATCCTAATGTACTGGTAATCCTTAATCCTTAATGTGGTACCTGGCCAGAGCCATCGCACACGTCGTAGGGCGGTGACAAGTGTAAAGTAATGGCGGAATAAAGTGTAGCAGGGCAAAAACCAGAAAACCGGAGAACCTGCTCCAAGCACATAACGTGGGTTGATTGTGGTTTATCTTTGTGTTTTATTAAGGATATTCTTCACATATTTATAATCTACCAACAGGTTTTTCTTAAATGTAGCACGATAAACTCTGTTGCAAAGGTTCTTATTTCTACAGGTTATACACATCATTAAAAACTAAGTTTATTTACTGGCAAAATTTAGTGTTCTACCAACAGAATTTTATATAATACTTTCGACTCACATGTTAGAAAATGTGCATATTCTCTGATGTAGTATTTCCTTTCATATTGACAATTATTTCTTACGACATAAAATGTTTTAGATGAATCCAGTGGTTTATATTTGTGACTGATTCTGTGTTGTTACAGAAATTGGCGGTTCATTTGTACGCATGGAAAAAAGCATACGAAATTCAAATAGCATAAAACCGCCTGGAAGTCCTCAGTTTATATCAAACTGGACTCCGGAGAAAGCGTGAGAGAATGTTTGCACTGAATAAAACTGGCTGATACTGGGGCCCCCGTGAGGGGAAGAGACCGCTGGGGAGACCTAGACGTAGATGGGAGGATAATGTCAGGCGGGATCTATGGGAGATAGGAGTCGAAGGAGACTGGATTTTGTTGGCCCAGGACAGGGTCCTGTGGAGGGCTTTGGTTAATTCGGTGATGAACCTTCGGGTTCCGTAAGCCATCTAGTTAGTTAGTTAGATACTGGGGCCCAGTAACAGGCTTTTGTGAACACGATAACGAACCTTTGGGCTGCATAAAAGTCCTGAATATATTAAAATAACAATTTTGTGTGTTCATATACATTTTTAAGTCAACAAATGACCAGGGAATCATATCCAACATTGTAAATTGAAACCAACAGATTTTAACCTGTCAATATGTCGACGCACATTATGAATAAGAGCTCAGTGTAATCGTATTTTGCTATTCCATGGAGCGAGGAGATTGAGCAAGTCTTTAGTTATGACTCATGATGACATTTATATACGTACGCAGAGTTTTGAATAAACGCTGGGAATAATCGTCACATGATTCATATTTCCAGCTTTCTAATTTCGCATTATCACGGCGTATACAAACATATTTCTGGGCCAGGAATAAAGATATGTATCTCGACCGACCATCAATCATCAGCAAATGTGCCCTCACACCTTGGTTTACATTTACAGTCCTCTTCTGTTCCTTGTCAGGGACATTGGTTGACGAATGAGCTATATCGTAAATGTCACATTTTTATGACCACACTTGAAACTTTCCTTTACTTGGAAATTTTAGTTTGGTTTTCATGATGTCACTTCCGGCGTAGTATGGCACTATAAACACGACATACGTACATGATGGCTCATAAAAAATTGTCTACCTTTCTCGTCTGTTTGGATGTTAACTGTGTCAACTTGTTTTAAACCAGAGGGATTTTTAATTCGATATGACGTTCTTCAACTGTCAATACCGAACGTAGCTTAACTTGTGACAGCGGGATCATATAGAATTAAAACTGTCAAACA